AAAAAACTGTTTGTTGTAATCAGAACTGTACTAGCCAAGGAAAGAAGTGGGAAAGCCTACACGGAGAGCCTTCTTTTTATCAACTTACTTGTTCTGGCTACTTAATAGCATGAACTGAGTTCAGAGTTTTGCAAACATGTTTACCTAAGAGCAGGTAACAGTGTATGCATAATTGCAACCTTAATTAGGGATCCTTTTAATGAATGAAGTAGAGGAAATAATTTGTTCCATTAATAATGGAAGGCCTAAATCCCTTTTGTTAAACTGGTTTGATCAGCCTAATTAATGCTGCTTCCCTTTCATCCCACCATACCCCATGTTTATGCCCTGCAGAGTACACAGCAGCTTCTCTGCAGTTAGGATTTGTAGGTAGTTGGAAGCCCTATAGAAGTGATGCAAGGACACCTTCCTGTTTTCTGTGTACTCTTGTACTAGACAGTTTTCTAATTTTTGTTGATCTGGGCCACATACTAGAGGTTTCAAGACTGCCACCCCTTAAAGATGAGGTGGGGTGTTATATATAGCTTTAGATGTTATACTGTATTAGCTAATGAGCAGTAGGAGGCACAACATGACTGGTTTCGCCCTTATTGGAACTCTTTTTAAGTGTTAAAGAACGTAGAACATCTAATATGGAGGATACCTACTCCTAAACAGTCCCAATAAGAATGAAACCAGTTGTGTAGTGACTTCTATTGGTTAGTAGCTAATATAATAGTTGGAAGTCCTATTATGTGGAGGCCTTTAGAGAGAACGGCTTCAAGAATGAAGAACTGGAAAGGAAGGAAAGTTTAGCTTAATTAAAAAGAAACAAGGTTAGGAGAACCCTTAGTTAAAGGAAATATGAGAGACAAACTTTTAGTTTATATTTTAGGTATTAGAATATTTGGGGTTACATTCAGTTCTGTGCACAGTGCTAGAAAGAGATGCTTCACAAAACTGGGAATACAGATGATGTAGCACAGCATTTGCAAGGCTCCTGTGGCTGCTTCTGAAGCTGTTCCCAGTTGTATCTGCACACATACACATACATATACAGTTTGCTTTGCAAGGAGCCTCAGGAGCCTTTCAAAAGACACACCTGCTTGAATGATTCAGAGAAATGCATCGCTCATATTCCTGAGCATTGCAAAACACTTATTTCTCATGCTTTGCCCTGCCCTAGCATGCTGCCTTGGCAAAGACTACTCTAAAAGTTGACAAAGTCCTGAAAGAAAGAAACATTAGCCAAAGCATTCCTAACCTGCTGTGCTCTAGGTGGGTTGGACTGCAAGTTTTCTCTTCTCAGCCACCATGGCCATGCTTCAAAGAGTTGCACATCTGTGACAAAAACAATCACATGACTAGTTCTTGGAAATAATGAGTTTCCACATTTTGGGGGGGGGGGTCTGCAGGGTATAGTAAAAAAAAGTAAAGATGGTGGTTGCAACAGTGTGATTGATGCTCTTTTTTTATGCGTCGCATATAAAAACTCACATAAGAAACAGCCTTGATTGGATCTTGGCCACCCTCTTGATTTTTTTCTTACCACACCTTGCAGACACCCCTGACCATTTTAACTAATTCATAGGATTTCACACTACTGTGGCAAAAGGGGATAATCCAGTGCTAACATCTTTCCCCCCCCATTTCCTTATCTAGAAAATGCAAGCATTTACATTTTAAAATTCATCTTAAATTTACATATTTATTTTCATGTTGGAGTATGAACTACCAAAAGTCTGTCCTTTGCCATTTGTCTCACATCCTATACTCTCCCACAGAAATGAAATTCTATTATTATGTTCTTTAGCATTTAAACATGTCATAAACAAATACAACTTAAATCTTCCTTGATGAGTCCATTATTTTTTACTGGAAAGTGGTTTTGTTGCCTTTTTATTTAAAAAAATCAGCAATAAGCAAGTAGCTTTAAAAAGTCAACTGTGAAGTTAAACTCAGTATTTAATAGTTGGATATCCCATTGGTTCTTAAATTGCTTTGCCCAGCCTTGAATGTTGCTTCTCTTTAATTTGAATAGGTGAAGAAACAGATCAGTATTTGATCTAGTTTATACATTACTTTAAGTTGGTTATGTTTAATTGTGGTTTGTTGAATAAGCCACAGTTGGCTGAGTTCACACATAATACTAAGTCAAAACCATAACCATCAAGAGAAAGTCAACAGTTGGGAGAAGGATAGCTACATTACAATAGCTTTTCCTTGGAATAAATCTATAATTTAGAAGCTGTTGCAAGTAATGGAAATAGTGACTGAGATGGGATGTGGTAGGGGACTAAGAAGACCATGTTAGTACCATGTTTCACCCAAGAAGTAAAATTACCATTAACTTCAACATGCCCTCCCTCTCCTCCCTATGACCTCAGGTTCTTCTCTTCACCAGCATAGTAACAAAGATAGGAAGTAGCCGTGATATTTTCTCCTTGAAATTGTATTAGGTCACTTGGCTCTTCAGATGGACACGGTGAAGGAAACTAACATCCAAGAGCAGTCAATTGAGGAGCAGTATCTGTTCTTTGCTATCAGCATCACTCACTTTAGAGAAAGCACATATAGCAGAACCAGGAAGGAATAAGGATGGGTTCACACAACTCACTAAATCATAAACCATAGCTTATAAGCCATAATGGCTGTTCATGTGACATACTAAACCAAAACTAAACAAACCCCACATTATAACATTACTTTTTAGCCAGAATCTATGTAGTGGGCCCAATTATTCTACAAGGGTGGAATCTGGTTCTTTTCCAGTCTGAAGCTATTGGGACTGCAGTTCCCAAAATTCCCAGCTGGTGTGGTTGACATAACTGGAGCACGCCAGGCTGGGAAAGGTTCTACTAGGACCTCAGCAGCTGCAACTCCAGGATGCTAAATTCCAAAGGTAGAAAGTGATGTACAGTTTCTTAAAGAAAACATTGGCTCTTTCATCAGATTTAACTGAGCTGCCAGTTTGTACTACTAGCCAGTATCGGCTGAAGTTCAGTTTATTCTTGCAGCTCATTAAAAAGACTGTCAGAAATGAGATATTATCAGAAATCTCTATGGCTGATAATTGGCTTAGTTAACAGCCTGTGAGGAAAAGCAATGATATTTGAGAGTTCATTAATTCATAATGAGTTTATGTAATTTGTCAGTGGCTCAGTGGCAGGTAACAGTCTTTTAGACCTAATAATCACCTTTCACACTCATGGTGTTTTTGTACCCAATAATTTTTGTTGCCAATGTGCCATTTCATACTTGGTCTTAATTGTTCCAAACTGGGATCAAGGATACTTCTGACCTTAAAAACAATTATGGCTTAACAATAATTACTTCATTAATATTGTACCTCAAGGTATACTGATATCAGTTTTAAACTACTTTAATTGCATGCCATACATTTATTTATACCATTAACTTAGATGCTGGGAACTGAAGCCCTTGAGGGGTGTCAGGTATTCCTGACAATTTGCAGCACCCTGAGGCAAGGCTAACTATTTTCTTCCTAATTAGATGGGAAACCAGGTCAGTAAATTGCTAATAATTAATACATATTTTTAGTATAGGCATAGGTAGGGTCTTGTGAGCAAGAAAAGAAGAAAGCTAAGGTTTAAAAAATAAATGGAAAAAGGCTAACTTTGAAAAATAATCCTTACCTTCATATGTTCATTTGTATATTTGAAGTTAGGGTTGTATATTTGAAATAAAGTGGCCCATAAAATGTAATTAAAACATGTAAGATGTTTACTACAATCAATAACAAAACAGCATTGACTGTAAGAATAAAAGACCAGAAATACATAACATGTGTAGCCCACACCAACTAAGTCAAGCTATACTAGTTTAAAATGCCTGACCAAACAGATTTTGACCTGGTGCTGAAGACTATAATTTTGGCACCTCTTGTACTACCAGCAAGCACCATGAAAAGATTAAGAAAATAAAAATACATAGACTTTAGTAAGTATCTTCATCTTTATCTATCTTTAATAATATTAAAACTCTGCTCCCAATAAGCCTGCATCTGCTGCAAAATGAAAGATTAACTCTTAGTTTACTGTATACCCTTTCCATTTTTTCTTCAAATCTAAAACAGCTTCTTCGCCTTCAGATCAGTTTTTGACTGCTGGCAACTGCCTGGACTAGTTCCTGCAGTTTTTTTGGCAAGGTTTTTCAGAAGTGGCTTACCACTGCCTGCTTCCTAGGGCTGAGAGAGAGTGACTGGCCCAAGGTCACCCAGCTGGCTTTGTGCCTAAGGCAGGACTAGAACTCATGGTCTCCCAGTTTCTAGTTTGATGCCTTAACTACACCAGGCTGACTCTCAAAACTTCTATTACACTTAATTGAAGTGGAGTTGACAGCAGGTGGTAGCTGATGTTGGAAGTAAACAGGTTGGCCCTCATTAACTCTTCAGTGGGGTCTGCCTGGGATTCCTCGTTGATATTTGAATGGAAAATTAAGAACATGGGAATAGTATGTGAATTTAGAACATCAGAATAGCTTGCTGAATCATGCCAAGACTCATCTTGGTCCAGTAATTTTTCTGGTCAACCAAATGCTTCTGGTATGCTCACAAGTAGGGAGTAGAAACAATGCAACAATAGTTTCATGCAACAAGTATTTGGGGGCATGCTGCTCTGGACCCTGAGGTAACATTGCGTCTTCAAGACAAGTAGCACTTAATAGACTTATGTAATCCCCCTTCAAAATGAGGGCTCTTGCCTTTACACCCTGATACTGTAATAGCTAATAAAATTAGAAATGGTGCAATGGAGGCATATCAATTTGTAAATCGTCTACTAGATTTGTTTGATTGACGATAGGCTTTAGATAGACGTTGGTCTTAATACAAGATGCAGTTAATTTACAGAAGTCACTGCAATATAACATAATAGCGGCCCTATTGGATATGCTGTGTGGCTATCAGACGTAGCTATGTTATTCTACTATTCCTGCCTGTTTCAAAATACCAGATTATGGGATTAAAGTATCCATCATTAGCATTACACTGGTCCACTATTTTAAAGTGTCCCTGAATCAATTGCTGCGTCTTCATATGGCTGGCAGAACCCTTTCGTGTTTCCAAGTTGCATCTGGATCCCAGCAGCATTTGAAGCCGGGGTGCTCTGGGGGCTGTGGCTCAGGATGGTAGTTTTGTGGCTGCAGAGGCTCCCACTGGACAGCTGCCCCTTGAGATTGGGACGAAGACTCCCGCAGCAAGAGAAGAAGCGGAGGACATCGTAAAAGAGGTGCCCACTGAAAAACATGTAAATCCAGGGATTACAGCAACTGCTGAGGCTGGCCAGCAACATGGTGATGGTGAAAGTCACATCGCTTGACTCTGAAGCAAAGAGAGAGATAAAGTGTAAGACGTTTTCTTTTTCAGATCTGTTTCAACAATAATAAGAACAGTTGAGTGAACTTTGGGGATAATGAATCATGATCAGATGTATCTGTATCCCACTGTATGTGTATCCTGGATACAGTTACTGCATCTTGGTTCATGTGTACAGAGTAAAAATACGCACCTGTGTTAATGATCACATAATCATCAACATGTAAATGTGATCCTTTTTTAAAAACATGAAAATGTTCCTGCTCCCAAAGTATGGTATCCCCTCCCTCCAGAACTCTGCTCAGTTCCTCCCCTTCTGTTTTTAGGAAGGGAGTCAAGTCCTTTCTGCTTTAGCCAAACATGTTCAAGTTGAACTAGTTTATAGTCATGATTTTTAAAATGTTTTTAACAATTGCAGTTAGCTGTCTTAAATGCCCAAAGTACAGAAGGGGTGAATAATAATAGTGTATTAATATGCAAGCTTATGTAAATAGTTGCCATACTGTTCATTTCATTTCACGCTTATTACAGACATGATGAGATAATTTCTCTAGAAAGGTATGGCTCTCAGGGGCCTCCAGCTTCCATTTCAGCTCTAAACTGCACCCCCAAGCTCCCCAAAATGATTTGAAAAGAATGTAATCACACCCATGTGACTCTTGATCTCCTGCAACTCTCTGGGAGGTCCAGAGGCTGCACTGTGGTCTTCAATCACTCAAAGGTTGCCTACTCCCACATTAGTCACATATTTTTAGAACTTCAAAAATAAACACAAATCATAATCAATAAAGGGATTATTGTTCCCGTTATTGTTCCAAGGATTATAGAAGATGGTAAAAAGTATAGAGAAAGGGAAAATTAAAAACTGAAAACAATAGTGCAATTATTTTGCCCTTTTTTACATTTGTAAAGACTGAATTAGTACCTTGAAATATATTCCTGTAATTTTCCTTCATGCTAATTTAAAAAACTTAAGAACTGCCATTTGCTCCATAAAAATCAATGAAAACATTGCTATCAGCTTGAATAGTAGTAAGATTGTTGTAAGAGTTTAATCCAGGGAACATTGCTTAAATTCGATTGATACTAATTAGACTTTATGATAAACAGGGATTTATCTTTTTATTTTACATAGCATTTCTCTTACTTTACATGAAAATCAAAATCAAGGGCATTTATTTTAGTTCCAGTTGGTATATCCAGTTGGTATGACGTACTGATGGTGCTTTGTGGTGAAGCTGCTGTTAATCGTGTTATTCTGAATATTAACATAAAAAGGAAATGAGGGGCCTCTCAAATTCTTACAGTTCAAAATATTGAAAGGTATCACAGGGCTGCTATTACTATAGCAATTTTGGGGGAATGGGACTGGCCTTTGCAGTGATGCAGATCTTACTAACAATGTCTCTTATACCTAGCATTAGCATCAGCAGCCCACTTTCAATTTTAAAGCCCACTAGTTGCGCTTGCCATGTGTTTGATGTGGTATGTCCAGCCCCAGCAATGGGTTGATTTCTAAACATTTCAATGCACAAGCACGTTTGTTTTCCCCCTGGCATTCAGGGAATCTGAAGCTTCTTGGAATCTTTTCGGAGGGGCAAATTTATTCTGGCGCTGCCTATATTGAGTCACTGTTTCTGTTTACCTTGCCTTTCACAGAAAGATAGCAACATGATAGACAAGCTTTTTTTTTAAAAGGGGTTGCCTTCATGCCACAGATCTTCCACTTAGAACTGCAAATGCTGAGAAGAATTTCTTACACCAGAAGTGGGCAAAAGAAAGATAATTGGGTGATTTGGAGTTGGTTGGCAGGGATTTCTGACTTCAGTAGTAGAAACAACAAGAAGAGAGGCTCCTGTCTATCTCCCCATGCTGACTGGAGAATTCTGGGACTTGAAGTCCACACATCTTAAAGTTGCGAAGTTTGAAAAACTCTGAATTATATGAACTGCAAAGATGATATAACTTGGACTGAATAGAAAGACAAGGCTGAGTGGGATATTAGAAGGAAGAGGTACAGAAATCTCCCTTAGTGGTCCATTGTCCTTCCTGCGCACATTGGGAAGGACAGTAAAAGCAGGGCTGTTTTGGATGTGTCTCCTATGCAGGTGACAAAAGCCACCCTGCATCTTAGAGGCATAGGCAGCAGTAGCTGGGACTGGCTTGAATGTTGATATCTGCATAAATAGAGCAAGTGGGCTTCACACGTGCATTTAAAATGTAATGCTAACATGGTGCCTTGCTTGTACGCCTAACAAAGGATTAGAATTCAAGCCTCTGATGGTCTGTAAGCATTGGAGCAATGATTCCTCGCTCCCCACACTTTGCAATTTGGTAAATCTTATTATTTTAAGTTTTAATTTACAACCTTCAGCTAGTGATTATGCTTTTTCTAAAGTGCTTGTTACTTTTAATTATAATCTCCAAACACATTGCTGCTTTTAATGAAAAAATACAGTATTTGATAAAGGGTTGTAGGTAACACAGCTGAGAATAATTTGATTGTAGGTCTATTTAAGGACATTTGTAATATGTACAATCATAACTGCATATTCACTCCTATTTGTAATAGATGTAATCAACTAGATTACAAAAAACACTTTTTTTCTCATTCATGATTTTATTTCAAAGGCACAATTTAGGCACGTGTGGATTTTATAATAATATTGAAATCTTTGGTTTTTAAAAAATAACCAGGAAGGATCAAAATCAACTTACCTGCAATTTTCTTTCTGTTCAAAGTAATTTCAAGTCTGCCTTAATAAAAGATGGGAATATAGAGCAGTGCAAACATTGCAGTACATATTACTGTATGAATGTTTGTGGCAGCTGAAGCACTCTGTATTACCAAGATGGTGCAAGATATGTAGGTAGATGTTAGGAGATCCACTTTTCTTCCCTTCTTGCTGGATATCAAGGCATGGTGAATGGTGCTTTATTTCTCTATCAGCTCACGCACATAAAACAGGAGTGGGTAAAGAGTGTGCATGAGCAAGAGTGATAGAGGATCATTGCAGGTGTTGTATTTAAAAAAATCTGTCCTAATTCCTTTTTTTGTTGAGATGGATTTGAAAGAAAATCCATACTTGTTCCATCTGAAATCCTGACTGAAATCCAGTAATTGCACTGGCTATGAACCCCTATATATGACTCTGGCAGCAAACTGACTTTCTTAAACTGCTACCCTGTCCCTCCAGTTAAAAGTGACTCACCGTCATTTGGTGCATTCTTATCCCACACTGACCACATCTGTACACTGAAGAAAGGTGCCCAACAGGCAACATAAGCCACCACTATGACAAAAGTCATTTTTACGGTGCGGATCTTGGCACGGGAGATGGTACGCACGCTGCTAACCCAGGAGCCCGAGTGGCACCCTTCTGCTCCATTCTGGTCACTGGCTGTGTATGAAATAGCATCCACTGCAGAGGGACCACACCTTTGGGTCTTTCCTCTAAGATTCTTGCAGATCTTATGACAGATGAGGCCGTAACAAACGGAGAGGATGACCACAGGCAGCACAAAGACAGACAAAGTCATCCATGTAATGTACAGCTTTGCACCCCAAGGGTATTTGAAGTCTGCCCAGCAGTCCAGCACACCAGAACCTTGGCGGATCTCCCTTACTGAGAAGATAAAGAACTGAGGTATGCTAAGCAAGCAGCTTAGTAGCCAAGTGACTCCAATCATCAGATATGCCTGACAGGTTGGCTGCTGTAGAGTACGCAGTGGGTGGCACACAGCCATGTAGCGATCCAGTGTCATAGCAATGAGCATGTATGTGGAGGCAAACATGCTTAACACCTGCAGGTACTTGACAACCCTGCAGAGTGGATCAGGACCCTGGAAACGATAGGAAATTTCCCAAATCATCTGGGGAAACACTTGAAAGAGGGCCACCCCAAGGTCCGTCAAGCCCAGGTGGAGGATGAAAAGGTGCATCCGACTCATTTTCTTCCGAAGGCGATACATGGCAAGAAGGACACCCAGGTTTCCCATCACAGTCACCACCAGGATAGCAGCCAGAACCCCAATCTCAGCCTTAGCAAGTTCTTCATCTCGGGTGTGGAGGACAGTCTCGTTGAGCTCCCCATCCCATGGCTTGATGTTCTCCAGCAGAGAGCCATCCATGAAGTTGCTGAAGTATGTAGTGTTCCTCTCCATTGATTAAGGTTCTTCGATGTTTGATGATTTTCCAGAAGTTGATATGGCAATATGATGCTCTGGGTAGCTGAGAAGCTATTTCTCTCTCTCAAAGTTAGATCAGACTGTGAGAATAATAGCAATAGTACTTTTTGGGCTGAATTGCATAGATCTAATTAACTTTTCTATCTTGGATCAGGTCTGTTTTTCTTTTTTACTGATCGTGCCTTTAATATTTGGCGCCATTATTTTTTCATATTTAACTAGCAGTACAATTGTTTCTAAACAGCCTTTTCATGGTTGCTAGAAAATTTGCAAATCTGTAAATATTCAAACTATACAAAATGCCTTGATTAATTTTTGTTTTTCACTTCTGTACCCATCCTTCAGGATAAGCTCCCTCTTGAGATAATACAATTTCTCCTCTTCCACTTTCTTTACTTCTTTATTAATTCCTTACTCACTTCTTACGTCTCCCTGGCTCAGTGCAAAATTCTTCTTCTCTAATCAGCCCTATTATTAACTCCTTCTAGAAAGAAATATTCAAAATACAAAGAATAATCCTAGAATAAATTGACCTAAAACAAGCACTGGAATATAAATGCAAAATCTAAGAAGGTGGATCTCTTTTTGGATGCCGGCAGAAGCCAGGTGCTAAATCTATATGCTGCTGAACTGACTCAGGCTGTTCAAACCGAGTCTGTTGCTTGGATCTGGGTTTTATAGACTGGAGCTGCCCTCTCTGGTTGGTTCCTGCTGTCTGGCTCCACTGTCATCCCTGCTGCTGAGCATGAAGACTGAAGAAAGTCTGCTGCTCGTCCACATGAATACACATCCATGGGTGTGCACACATGTATGCAAACACTAGGACAGATGTACCTTTCTTTCATGAGCAAAGTAATACATACATTCAGCTAGACATCCAACTTTGCAATCTGTTACTCCAGATGAATATTTTCATTGCTGTGTGTGTAAATAGCACACATAGACTTTTTTTCTTTAAGCTTCAAAAGTTTTGCTGTACTTGTCAGCAAATTATGCAGGCGTGTGGAACTGGCAATACTGAAAGCCTTCTTTTACTCTTTTATTTTCTGCCTCAGGGCCGTGAATAATTTGATATTCAGATCTTTTTCCCCCAGCTCACTTTTTTATGTACAAATGTTTCAAGTAATTTGATGATAAATTAACAGAACAGCACAGAAAGCTGTAAACATTTCAGAAAGCCACTGAAATTATTTTGAGACATCCCATTGTCGTCTTTTTCTCCATTCTCTTAAGAGACTGGGTAATAATTCTCATATCACTGATGGATAACTTTGGAATCAGAATCAAATGGAATATAATTTGACTCTATAAAATGTGGTAAGAAAATAATAGGTTTCCTTCTGTAACTAGCAATAAAACTTCCAAGGGTGTCCACAGGGTGTGGTCAAAAAAATTAAGATGGCAGCCACGAAGATGTGATTGACGTTCTGCCTGGTTTATATGTGTCTGCATATAAAAACATGCACATAAAAACCAGATGGAGCTTCAATCACATCATCATGACTGCCATCTTGATTTTTTTTTTTTTTTACCATATCCTGCAACACTCCTGAGTGGTCTGACAAGTGTATCTTTATTGTGACTAGTTTTTTGCCATGAGGATTGTAATTGTGCTATTCTACCCAGAAGTGCTCATTCTGAATATATATATATAATAAAATCATAAAAGTATATATATAAGATTATATATTATATAATCTTGTAAACTGCCAAGTGACTCTGGGCAGCTTACAAGATTAAAAATATAACCCTCCAGTGCCCATGGATAAACAATTACATATTAACCATCCATAGTAGCAGAGCTCATCTCCACCCTGACCCAAATACCTGCGGGAACAGCCATGTCTTCAATGTCTTGTGAAAGACTAACAGGATTGGGGTCATCCAAATCTCCAGGGGGATGCTGTCCCACAGGGCAGGTGCCACCACTGAGAAGGCATGACTCCAGGGTCCAACAAGATGACATTGTTTAGTAGAAGGGGCCTAGAGCATGCCCTCTCTACTAGTTCTGGTGGGTCAGGCAGAAACAATAGGAGAGAGGTGGTTCTGCATGTAACCTGGCCCTAGGCCATGGAGGGCTTTATAGGTGATGACCAGCACCTTGAATTGCACCCAGAAGCCTACTGGGAGCCAGTGCAGCTCAGAGCAGAAGTGTTACATAAGCATAACAAGAATTGCAAAAACCTGCAGCTTCTGAGTACTCTTCAAGAGCAGCCCCATGTAGAGCATGTTACAATAATCCAAATGGGAGGTGAGGCATGAGTACCATGACCAAGGCCTCCTGGTCCAGGAATGTGCAAAAGCCGCCCTGGCCACAGCTGCCACCTGCTCTTCAAGCAGGAGCTGAGAGTTCAGGAGGACCCCTAAATTGTACACCAACTCTGACTGGGGAAATGCACCCCCATGCAGAGTTAAAGATGGAAAATCCCTGGAACCAGGGGGTGTTAAAACCCACAGCAACTTGGTCTTGCCAGAATTAAGCCAAAGCCTGTTCTCCCCCACCAGACCTTCACAGCCTCCAGGTGCTGGGAAAGGACCTTGAAAGAATCACTTGGTCAGCCCAGGAGGGAGATGTACAACTAGATATCATCAGCATACTGCCCAGCAGCTTCATGTAGATGTTAAATAGGACTGGGGAAAGAGTAGAGCCCTCAGGCACCCCACAAAGCAGGGGCCTCTCCGCCCCCACCACCCGACTGGAACCAGCCTTGGAGAAAGGAGGAGAACAACCGTTAACACAATTTTGTTCAAATGAAGCCCACATATTGCCATGAATAGCTAACTCAGTTGATACCTCTCAGAGGAAAACAAAAGGGAGTTTTCTTCTCCCCATTCTTTTACTTCCTTGCAGTAGATGTTCTCTGCAAATTGCAAGCACTAAAGCAAGGCAGCATTCTCTCCCAACTGGTACCTTCTGAGTGTCTTCAACTTCCATAATTCTTAGTCAACCACCATGCTGACTGAAACACGTAGGAACTGAAACTGAATACAGCTGGAGGTCTTTGGGCTGTGGAAGGTAGTACTGAATCATTGCTGTTTACAGTGCTTGAACTGACTTTTCATTAGGTCAATCCAGATTTAATCATATTTAGAAGAGATTAATTGAAATAAAAATTCAATGATCTGTTTAAGAAATAAGCTAGATCTGTAGGGTATGCCAAGTTAAACACACATGCTGCCTATTTTAGGATTAGGGCTAAATTAGTCCCATTTTACCACCCCCAATGACCCATTATTTTGGTTTCTAGAAACTGGAACTTGTAACCTTTAATGCAGAATACACGTCTCAGTTTCAGAAAATCCAGAATGGCTTCCAGTTCAGATTTAAATAGCTTGTTTAAAGTACTGCACATGACAGAGGGAAATGTTGGTATATATTTACTTCTTAACAAAGCTTGTTAGGTTAATCTGTTTGTGAACAAAGTCCTATTATGACAAAATCTGAGAACAACTCACTTCACTTTGTAACCCTTTATTTAGCATTCAGTAATTGTGCAAATGTTTGAACAAATCACATCAGTCAGGAGCCAGCATGAATGATCTGTTGACTGTAGGAATACCCAGTTTTGTAGAAATATCGACAGCCATGGATGCATTATGAAAGAAAGAAGTATTTGGAACGCTATACTTCCCTGTGTTTTTCTGATTTCCTGGCAAATTACTAAAATATATAATAAAATCAAAGCAGACCTAAAATTCAGATCAAAGAATTTGAATGGAAGAGAGACTATGAAATTCTTAAATCTGATTTTCCTAAATGATTTTCTTAAATGTGCATATTATATATCTGTGATACAACAGTAATATGTAAAATAATAATGAGGTGGGAAGGATTTAATATTGTATCTTGCCTCCTGAATGTTTTATATCAGTCCCTTCGTTAACTCTCTCTTCCATATCAATCTTTTTCATAAAACCCAGATAATTTAATAATACTATCAAAGCAGTAAGAAGTGCCAGGAGAAAGGGTAATTTCCTCTGACAGAGGTAGAAGCCGATTTTTGAAACTCTTAATTTCAAAGCTTTAAAAACCCAGAATCATTGCATAAATAGAGGCAAGCGACAAATTATTCTAATAGGTAAAGCATCTGATTTTTGGAGAGGAACCATGCACCCTCTCATTCAATTCTCATTTAGATAATTCATAGCATTCTCTCTCTCTTTCTTAAAATGACACGTTTATTTCAATCCCAGTAACTCTAACCCTGCTGTTCAGCTGAAGGACCTATTCAGAGAAACAACTACAACCACATGAAGGCTTGTCCAATTTCCTATTCCAGTCAAGAGCTTGATTGATTGATTACGTACCATCAAGTTGGTATCCACTCTTAGCAACCACATTAAGAGAGCTTCTCTGAGGTGATCTGTCCTCAGTCTGGCTCTTGATGTCTTCCATTATCAGTGTAGTCAAGTATATCCACCTACCTTCTGGTCATCCTCTTCCTCTCTTTCCTTCCACCTTTCCCAATATAATGGACTTCTTGAGGGACCTGAGTGAGAATTATGAATTGATTTGTTTTATGATCTATTTGGTTTTGTTGCTGTCCATGGTATTCTTAAGAGTCTTCTCTAACGCCAATATCCCAAAGCTTCAATATCCTTTTTATCCTGCTTCTTTCACATCCATAGAGTGTCTTAGGGGAAACCACTGCCTGCACGATTCTGAGCTTTGCAGGTACAGACACATCACAGCATCTGAATGTCTTTTCCAAGGCCCTCATGGCTGCTCTGCCACAAATTAGCTTGCAGGTATTTCCTGACTGCTGGTTCCTTTCGATAGTTGATCCTAAAAGGCAGTGATGTCAGTGTCAGTTTTAAAGCTGGTTGCTGTACCTGTTATCACTGTTTTCTTCTTCTTCTTTTTATATCTCATCTTAATTCCATTTGTTCACATGCTCCTTGACCTTCATTAATAGAGCTTCCAGATCATTTGCATTTTCAGTTATTACAGTGGTGTCATCAGCATAGTGCAGTTT